CATTTGCAGCAACGTGGATGGAACTGGAGGGTATCATGCTAAGTAAAATATGTCAGTCAGAGAAAGACAGATACCATATGTTTTCCTCCAATGTGGATCCTGAGAAACTTAACAGAAGACCATGGGGGAGGGGAAAGGAAAAAAATAAAAAGTTACAGAGAGGAAGGGAGGCAAACCATAGGAGACTCTTGGATACTGAGAGCAAACTGAGGGTCAATGGGGGAAGGGGGAGAGGGGAAAGTGGGTGATGGGCACTGAGGAGGGCACTTGTTGGGATGACCACTGGGTATTGTATGGAAACTAATTTGACAATAAATTATAATAAAAAAAGAAAATTAATGGATACAAATAAATATTCTAAAACTCATAATACTTGAAGATGTCTAAACATAAGGTATCTATCTGAGAAATACCACGTAGGAATTAAGTAGAAAGACTAATATCCCTTACCGAATCTCAATAGTTGAGAACTACAATTCAGAAATAATCACATAAAAACTATTCTAATACATACAAATCACAATTTAATATTTGCTCAGGCTATTACAAGAATTAAAAAAAAACTTAATACAATAGGTCATAATCCCACAGTCCTTATTTAACTTGCAGTCGTTAATATTTGTGTGCATGTATAAAGGTTGGGCACTTGCTCTCATTCATACAGTCCTTATTCAGCATACTGCATCATTTGATTGAAAAACTGATTGAAAATGACATGGCATAAGGAAGCTAAAATGTATTAAAATTTTACCAAACACAATGAGTACACAATCGACAGTGTGAAATTAATGACAACTTATCTGCCCAAATTGTGTCTAATGTTAAACCCGTGTGCAAAATATCAGAGACTGAAATAACAGATTCTGTTGTCATATGATACTCCTCTATTTTAGGAGGTCTGTTATTCTTGGGGCCTTACAATCTGGATGTATTTGTGCTTCATCCTGAACCACACACACCTTACATTTTTACAAAGTCAGAGCAATAGATTTTGATGTTTTTTACTGAATTCAAAGGTTTGAATCTCAAGTATGCATCACGGCATCAGAAGAGACATGTGCTCCCTGAAGATCCAGTCATATCAGATGGCATCCTGATAATGTATTATTCATGACTCAGTTCCAGATAAACAATGTGGTTACATAAAAGCAAAGCATTAAAAAGTCACATGTATCGATGAAGCCTTTTGCAAAAAAATAAAAGGTGAGGGTGAGCAGGTTTAAAATAGGTAAATAAATAAATAGATCAGGTGATTTAGGGAAATTTTTTTTATTTTATTGTTTTTAATTTTTTTTTAATGTTTATTTATTTTTGAGACAGAGAGAGACAGAGCATGAACGGGGGAGAGTCAGAGAGAGAGGGAGACACAGAATCTGAAACAGGCTCCAGGCTCCGAGCTGTCAGTACAGAGCCCGACACGGGTCTCGAACTCACGGACCGCGAGATCATGGCCTGAGCCGAAGTCGGCCGCTCAACCAACTGAGCCACCCAGGTGCCCCGATTTAGGGAAATTTTTAAAAATTAATCATATGTTCTGGGTAGTAAACTCCTTTAGCCTAAGGACAGACCCTAATTCAAATCCTATAAAGTTCTAATATGGTACACAGTATGGTTCCTTAACATATTAAATCTTACTTTAATTCAATTCCTTTATATTTTAATTACATTTTACTTTTTTAACAATTTTTTAAATATTTATTTCTTTTTGAGAGAGAGAGAGAGAGAGAGAGAGAGAGAGAGAGAGAGAGAGATGGCATGAGCAGGGGTGGGGCAGAGAGAGAGGGAGACAGAATCTGAAGCAGGCTCCAGGCTCTGAGCTGTCAGCACAGAGCCCGACGCGGGGCTCGAACTCACAAACCGTGAGATCATGACCTGAGCCGAAGTCAGATGCTTATCCGACTGAGCCACCCAGGCGCCCCTATAATTACATTTTAAAGTATATGCTAGTAAGAGAAGATCTTACTATAAAATACAGACATTGATGACAACCTCATATTTATAATTTAGCAAGTAGAAAAACAGCAATGTATGATAATTTGATTGGACTTATTAGGTGGAGAAGCATAAAGGATTTTTTTTATACAGTTTATGCAGATTTTAAGAAGAAATTTTTAACGGTCCTCATGATGATCTCACTAGAGGGTACGACAACGTGTGCAGGGGCATCTTCTATAATTTTCCTTGCTAATGCTTCTAATCTTGCTTTTCTCTTGCTATTACATTAAATCACATAAAATGATGTACTTTGAGGTTAAATGTAAAGACAGGTGGAGGCTCACAGATACCCCATTTTGTCAGATTTACTATAACCTGAAGGTTATATTAATACAACCACAAGGTTTTCATTGTGAGTAATGGAGCCTTTGGTTTATTCAATTATGCTTTTTAAACACCAAACCCATCACGCTCACTGTCCATCTGAAAACGCTTTAAACTCCCTGCCATTGGTTCGCTGAAGCACTATCCATCCTCCCCATGCCGAGGTATCTGTCCTTGAACGCTCTTCTCCCTCTGCCACCCACCCCCCACTTGTTTATGATGCCCCAACCTTCTCTAAAAAGCCCTTCCCCTTTCTGTGTTGGGCTCGACCCTCCTGTGCGTTCCCACAGGCTCAACATTCATAGGCCACTTCTAACACTCAAGGTCCTGCTGTTCAGTCGTGAGCAAGATAGATCTGTCCCAACTTTGTGGGTCATACAGTGAAACTGGGAAGAAAGGCTTCGAGCCAACAATTAGAAATAACCAACAAAATTATTAGAAGTGCTCAGAGCGTCTCAAAGGAGAACCAAGGGGGAACAGAAACGTAGAGTGGAAGACCCCACCCTGGAGGGAGGGGGAAGAGGAGTCCTCTTTAAGGACATCCCCTGTTCTGCCATCGTGATATAGACCAAGAGAAGGAAAAGTTTGAAAAATATTCAAAAAATGTGTAAAAAGTTCTAGGCAGAGGGGCGCCTGGATGGCTCAGTCAGATGGGTGTCTGATTGCGGCTCAGGTCATGATCTTGTGGTTCATGGGTTCGAGCCCTGAGTTGGGCTCTGTGCTGACAGCTCAGAGCCTAGAGCCTGCTTTGGATTCTGCTCCTCCCTCTCTCTCTGCTCTTCCCCTGCTCATGCTCTGTCTCTCTCTCAAAAATAAATGAACACTGAAATAAAAATTCTAGGCAGAAAAGGCAACATACGCAAAAATCGCTCAAGGCAGAGAAGACGGAACAGGCCATATTTTAGGAGCAAAGAGAAAAAGTAGTGCAAGATAAGCTGGACAATGCACTGGGCCTAAATCATGCCAGGGCCCAGAGGCATCCATGGAAGCTCACTGCTCCTTTTTCTCCCAGAAAGAACTCGCTAGGCCTGGGAGGGGGCAGCTGGCTGTCATGGCCCAGAGGCAACTCCTTCAGGATGCAGTAGCAAGTGCCATCAAGGTACAGCGGTCCCTAAGAGTGTCCAGCCCATGACTAAGCACAGTGGGACTGGGAGGGTCTGGTCCTTTCCACCCAACATGGATGCCTCCAACAGGTCCTCCTGCTTCCGCCCTCCCACTGGGCCCACCTAGACTTTACTAGATCTGTTTTGTGGATCACATAAAGCTGATTACCCTCTTTCCCCAGCTTGAAGCTCTCTCTGAATTTCACTGTTGATGAGTTTGAGATATGATTATTTATTTTCAGACTTAACGACCGAGCACTATATTACAGATACGATCAATTTGACACACATAATTTAATTTCAGTGTTGATGCTGGGAAAACTGAAACACAAGTTGTGAAGAACTTACAATTTTTTTTTCTAAGAAACTCAAACTCAGTTATGTCCGGATGAAGCAATGGGCTTCTTTGGAACTCTCAATGGGCTGTGTTCTGTTTTCATTAAGCAAATATTTAATTATAGCAATTTATTGCCAGAAATAGCACAATACATTTGGTATTGTTCAAGCTACAACAGAGATGGGAAATGTCCACTCAATTACTTTTGTTCACTTTGCACAATGTGCTTCTCGTCAATTATGACAATTAACAAGGCTTGTCTTCAAAAAGAGAAAAGGATCTACTATGTCACCTAGGTAAATACATGCTAAAAGAAATCTCTGATAACCTTCTGTGACAGAGGAAGTTCTTCTCAGGGCTGCCTTGAATGTACAAGCAAGTTTTGCTAGTTTTCCTAGTTGAATGTTTATTTATTTTTGAGAGAGAGATAAACAGAGCCTGAGTGGGGGAGGGTCAGAGAGGGAGACACACACAGAATCCGAAGCAGGCTCCAGGTTCTGAGCCATCAGCACAGAGCCCAACACGGGGCCCAAACCAATGAACCATGAGATCATAACCTGAGCCGAAGTGGGATGCATAACCGACTGAGCCACCCAGGCGTCCCGCTAGTTTTCTTAGTCTAACACTACATACACATCATGTGCCTCAGCTTACTTTCCTGCCCCTGCCAGTAAAAGAATGGTCAACTGTCATTCAGTGCTTCACATTTAATTTTGTTGACCTTCACTAAACCGGACTTAAAAAATGAGTCCACAAATGCAAAGCAGCGGACTCTTCACTGATTTCAAAAAGAAGAGTTGATAACATTTTATTTATAGATGAGAGTTTGTAATGATGCCTCCTGGGCCAAATACAGGCCGTACTTGTTTGCCTGTTTTGCCCCCACAATATTTGAACACACTAGGTCTGCGTGGCAACAATGAACAACAGATGAAAAGTGGTGACTTATTTTAGGCCAAAAATGAGCAGCCAGTTTCAGCTGCTTTATACAAAGTCCACCTCCCCTCTTTTGTGACTTTCACATGATAAAGCATCTCCATCTGTGACCTCTGATTTAAGTGAACAAATCAATACTTTGGCAGCTAAGTGCAGACTTATTCAGTATATGGGAAAAATCTGACAGGGAATCTAAAAGATTGACAGAAAAGTAACCGATCACTTCCGATGAGTGAAAAGTTTAAGCAGGATTTTCACATCCTTGGTACCAAGACTCCTAACCACCAAAAAGGTGTGCATCTTACCTGTAGGTCTTTTTCCTCTATCTTTTTTTGGAGCAGTTCAAGGCACTTGGTGAAGTCAGTATGGTCTTGGTCAGGCGTTGATATAATCTCACATCCCTATGTGTTTAAAGAGAGAAAAGGTAAGAACACGTAATGAAGGCAGCCTTATTATGAACAGGATCTAAAACCATAAAAGATAAGGTATCAATAGACACAGCCAGTTATGCCTGTAGTATATACCCCGATCATTAGTATCATTGTCATCATCTTTTTTTATCTCACATAACAAGACATCTCAGAAATGGTGTTAGAATATCACAATAATGGTCTGATTATGACAATCATTTTACTCAACAAAAGTGCAGCTTTATACTACGTTACTGGTCTTTAAGAATCACTGCTGTGATGACATTTGAGACTAACATAAGGGCTCTAGTATAAGTATTACAAAATATATTCACAGTAAAATTACCTGAAATTAAAATGAAACTATCTCTAAAAAAAAAAAAGGAAAAAAAAGTCTGCATTTTTTAAAGCAGACCTCCCAAGTTCACTTATATGAATGGGAAAACTAATATTAATATTGAACTAATGATAAAACTACATTTCAAGTAAAATCAAGTCTATTGTTGTACAAAATTACTTTACTGGACCTTCCTCACCCAATGTAAAAAGAAGCATGGAGAGCTACACCTGCATAAATATGTCTCTTGGATTATTTTTTGGACATAATGAAGTGAATTTATAAGGTCTTTGCCTCTTCTACACCAGATACCTAGTAAAAAACTAGGAATATATTTATATATATGAAGTCACAAAAGGGCCAGCTGGTTGGCACTCGTGAACTTTGATGGCTAAAGAAACAATATTTCTGAAATGACACTTTCTCCTCCAATGTCTTACAGAGGCAAAGGTGTATAAAACCAGAGCGTGGTGGGACTGGAGACTTCTTAATTCAGGAACGTAACAATCCGTGGTCTCTCACAAACAGCTGAGTAAGGGGAAGTTAAATATAATCCAGTATATAAAGTTGCCATTCAAAGAGTTTTCAAGGATACAAAACACCCATACTGCCTCCTAAATTATTCTAAGAACTGTTCTCAGTAGATTTAAAGGTTCTTCTCAAACTTCAAGGTCTCTCTAAATGTGTCAAGTTCAGCCTGGGCTTCATTCATTTATGACTACTGTCCTACAAGGTAGCAACCAATGAAAAAATTAATTTCTCATAATTTAGAAATATGTTATACCCTAAAAGATGTATATATCATCTTTATAAAATCATCTACATGTACTTTTCTGACCCTAAAAGAACACTGAAATTTACTATCATCACCAAGCGAGGGCATAAAGAAGTTGACTCGTCTTAAGCTAATGCTCCTAGAAAAAAGATATAGGAATATGCCAGAACCTACGGGGATGTTAGCAGTGCTGAGATTAGATTGTCACCCAACCAAACTGTCACTATACTGAAAGTTCCTTGAGGACAGGAATTATGTTGCATTCATGACCATGAGTGAATGGTGAGTGGCACCAGTCTGCTACATGGTAAGGGTTTGATAAATGTTTCACTAATATTCCTGAGGAATAAAAATGTAAGCTGGCAAAGGGGGGCAGGGGGCATGTAACAGCATGGGATCTTACTGCCAAATACAGAATTTTAACAATGGGAAATAATCTATGCTCTTTTTAGTGCTGATAATACAATCACGTCAGCAAAAGGAAACACAATGAAAAAGGCAAACAGAAGTAACAATAATACAAGAAACAATTAATAGACCCGTTTACCTTCACAGCTATCTTCATGGAATCAACACAGATCCATAGGAAAAATAATCGTGAATGAGAACCCAAGAAAGAATTTAGTCCCACTATAATATCTTGTAGATTAAGGAAATAAAAACAAGAGATTTTAAGGTTTAAAAAAGGTGGTTTTTTTTAAGGTTTATTTTTGAGACAGAGCATGAGTGGGGGAGGGGCAGAGAGAGAGAGAGAGAGGAAGAGACAGTATCTGAATGAGCCCCCAGGCTCTGAGCTGTCAACACAGAGCCCAACGCGGGGCTTGAACTCACGGACCATGAGATTATGACCTGAGTTGAAGTCAGACGCTTAACCGACTGAGCCACCCAGGTGCCCCTAAAAACAAGAGATTTAAGTGGACTTGCTAATCACTGGACAGCAGGGTGCAACAATGTCACATCTAGAAATCCTGCTTCTTTACTCTCAAGTGGGAGCAAATGCCTAGATATCAGACACAAAAAGGTTATAATAACATCTCCAGAGTTGGTTCCACAAGAATGGCATCATGAAAAAAGCTACCCCCGAAAAAGGAGCAAGGCTTGAATACCACCTGACTTTATCTCATCAATTTAAGACGGACACACAGAAAAGTGTAAGTCAGGACACGGAGACAGATTACTGGAACTGAAAAATTCAGACTATATCTAAACCAAGAACTTCTAGAAACTCTGAGGTGTTGATCAGCCATCCGTAGCTTCTTGGAATCTTCCTAAGTTTAAATAATTCTAATCTCATCACAGATGGGCAACAAATTCACTGGAAGCGGAAACAGCTTCAACAGCCCTCACAGGGAAGCTCGCGACACCTAGAAGGACACCTGCAAAATGGAGCACTAGCCAAAGTGCAACACCAGGCCTTTGGCCAACTAAAGATGTTTTTACTGTTTTCTGGGTCTCGTGATAACACAAGAAGGTCTAGAAGAGGAGATATATAAAACCAAAGAAATAATCAGCAAAATTCTGCAGAATAGGAAAAATGCAGAAATGCTATTAGGTATCAAGTGAGGTTCAACTATTTTATATTAATGTTTATTTATAATTATTTATGTATAGAGTAAGGCTCAATTTACTAGAGTCAGAAGCACTGGATACTGTGAAGAATTTTACTGGATTTGATGTTTAAAAAACAAAATAAAAACTCACAGTAATCCAAGGACATAGGAGATATAAAAGCTAGGAAATCTGGCCAAATAAGAAAGTATATCACTATTAGAAACCAAATAGATGGTTTCTAGTATTAGCTTCCTAATAGATGAAGGTATACCTGACTTGAAAATATACGGAAAATTTCCAAAGCATAAACTAATAAACGTTTTAAGAACAGCTTTAACATATCAATGTTTGAGTGGAAACATTTGTTTTAACCATTACTGACTCTGATTTTTCTTAGTTGCTTAGAATATATTTTTTAGGATCCATATTATTGTTTTATAAGCCAGCAGGTGGCTCCAATCTCATTCTATGTGCTTTTCTTATGAAGTTTTTGTCATTATACAAATAGAAATTTAAATAACTCAATTCTAGTGGCACCTGGATGACTCAGTTGGTTAGGCATCTGACTTCAGCTCAGGTCATGATCTCACAGTTCGTGGGTTCCAGCCCCGCAGTGGAGCCCCGCGTCAGGCTCTGTGCTGACAGCTCAGAGCCTGGAGCCTGCTTTGGATTCTCTGTCTCCCTCTTCTCTCTGCCCCTCCCCTGCTCATGCTCGCTCGCTCTCTCTCTCAAAAATAAACATAAAAAGAAAATTGAAAAAAATAACTCAATTCTAATAATAAGCTCCACTGGTGGACACACGTTTTTAAGTGGATTATTATTTTTTAATACTACACTGTTAATTTTGTTTTATATGAGAATTCAAAAGGAAAAGATTTGAATTGATGTCACGAATTTCAGTATGTGTAAACATCAAGGCTACTCTAATTCTGTTCTAACCCAAAAACATTCTGAAGATGAGAAAGCACAATGCCGCCCCTTCCTTCTAAACCGTAACCAAACACAAAAGGAAAAGCGAGGAGAACTAAGTTTGAACGAGTTTAAGAATTCTGTTCCAGTGTGTTAAATTTACTTACCACAGACTTCCTCATCAGGTCTTTCTCATCCCATAAGTCAAAACCAGAAAAAGACGCATGTAAATTTAATTATAAATAAATGACCAGGGGGTCCAGTCGACTACTTTTTAGAGTCTTACTCTATGTATGCTGTTTTATTAAACTGTACTGTGTATGGAAGCAGTAGGGCTCTACCAGATACTAAAGGGCCAGTGCTAAATAAAAACATGAATATCATAATCAGTAAACATGTAAATTATAAATATGTGTGTGTCTGAGTGTGAGAAAGACAGCCAGGTAAGGGGAGGCTCCTTTTCTTCCTCTTTCCATACTGAGAAACTCCTAGCCACACTTCACCACTAGCCAGTGATTGCTTGCAAGAAAGTCCGTCTTCTATTCATCCCTAAATTTGTCCTTTCTTTTTGTTGGGTAGTAGGGATAGTGTAGGCATTTGAGATCCCATTCTGCTTTTGGACTAAAACTACACTCTAAACTAGAGCCAAGTGTCAATCAAAAAGAATGAAATTGTGCCATTTGCAACTACGTGGATGGAACTGGAGGGTATTATGCTAAGCAAAACTAGTCAGAGAAAGACAAATATCATATGACTTCACTTTAAGATACAAAATAGATGAACATTAGGGAAGGGAAGCAAAAATAATATATATAAAAGTAGGGAGAGGGACAAAACACAAAAGACTCTTACATACAGAGAACATAATAGGGTTGCTGGATGGGTTGTGGGAGGGGGGATGGGATAAATGCTTAAGGGGCATTAAGGAATCTACTCCTGAAATCATTGTTGCACCATATGCTAACTAACCTGGATGTAAAATACACAATAAATAAAATTTTTTAAAAATTTAGAAAATAAAAATATAAAAGAAAATAGTCAAGTGCAATACACTGGAATGAGATACCTACTCAGAAAACTGCCGATTATATTAGCTTCTGCTCCATAGAGGTATAATGAACATCCCCAAACTACAATGTTGAGAATCACATTGTAATAGAAAACATGTACTAGGAAAATGAAAGAATTCACAATATCAAGCAAATATCATGAATTCATATTAAAATGACAGGTGCCCTAAGGTTCAGGAAAACAAAACTGGAAGGTGCAGAAAGATGTAGAGAAGTTACAAATAAGGTAAATTAGGCCGGTTGCCAACATGCTGATTTAGCAGACTTGAGGAGAATGAAGACAAACAAGCAAACCTACTTAAGTAAACAAAAGCAGAACTTTACACATGAGGGAGTGAGCTCACGGAGC